TTTTTTTTTTTTTTTTTTTCCCCTTTCTTTTGTTTTCTTAAGAGCAAGCTAAAGATGCTATTGTCTTCTTTTCACTGTAGGTTCTTACTGTTCTTTCCATTTTTACAGCAAGTGTTAGACCGGGTAAGTCGAATGACTCAGGGAGACTTAGTGATGTCAATGGATCAACTGTTGACCAAACCACGTTTGGGAACTTGTCATAAGTTTTATATGCAAGTTTTTCAGTTGCCTAATGGTGAGTAAAACTTGATGTGTCTTAGCTTGTGTGTGTGAAAGAATAAATGCTCCTCATAACTAAATAAAAACTGTTGGATACATTATGTTATCAAGTGTTATCCTTCCTACTCCTTTTTCTTTACTTCTGTTACATCTTGGAACTGCAGTGAACTGGCTTGTGGACACAAAAGCATGATCTTACTAAGGTGAGACACACTAGACTTTAATTAGGCTGGCTTCTGCCTTCCAGACTGCCATCATCCTGGAGTTTGTCTAGTCCAACTTTCTGTTCAGTGTAGGAAGGATTAATTTCAACGCAGGATCAGGATTTTCAGGGTTTTGTCAGCCAACTGTTGAAAATGTTACAGAAAGGATATTGCATAGCCTGCCTGGGGACCTGTTCAGTTGCTTAATCATCCTCAGCATAAATAATTTTTCTGCATAGAAACAGAGGATCATAGAACAGCCCGGGTTGGAAGGGACCTTTAAAGATCATCTGATCCAACCTTAACACATCCAATCAAAATTTGCAATTTGTACCTACTGCCCCTTGTTCAGTCATTGTGCACCTTTGAGAAATCAGGTTCCTTTTTCTCTGTAACCCCCTTTAGGTGTGGAAGTCTACAAAGGAAGAAATGCTGCTTGACAGGTTACCAATAGTGCTGGCATTGGTCTGTTGATGCAATTCTCTGTAGAGATGCAGTCTTTCCATCTCTTCCCCTTCCACTTCCCCATGCCCCCTTCCAGCCTTTAAATTACAGTCAAAATCTTGTAACCTTTTGACTTGTAAGGATGAGCAAATGTGCCTTGGAGGATAGTGGTTCTCTTGCTTCACTGCTACAGAGTCTACAGTGATCTTGGAATACACTGTTTAGGCCAACATGTTCCATGTGGCCTTCACTTGGCCTTTATGATGACTTATTTTACAAAACAGGATATGTTTTAGAGCAAATGCTTGTTTTGCTTGCAAAAACGTTATTTCAGTAGTGATGTAAATTTCTGCAGCTGGATTGTGCTATCGATGTTACTTGATCTTAGTCTATTAGTCTTTTCAGTGTGTGAAGTGCCTAAGAGCAGGTTAACTGTAGTTGTCATCTTAACTCCTATGTTTTTTTGTTTTGTTTTGTTTTTTTATTCTAGATCAGACAAAAACCCTGATGTTCTTTGAAGGGTGCCCCCAGCACTTGGGTTGCACTATCAAGTTGTGTGGTGCTGCAGAGTATGAGCTGGCCCGTGTGAAGGAGATCCTGATCTTCATGGTCTGTGTGGCTTATCATTCCCAGCTGGAAATCTCTTTCCTTATGGATGAGTTTGCCATGCCCCCTACTCTGATCAAAAACACTTCCTTTCACTCCCTTATTGAGGAGCCAGGAGATGAAAATGAACAACAGAACCTTTTCAATGGTGAGGATTTCAGCACAACAGTCAGAGACATTGAACTATCCTCTGAAAAGCTGCCTGTAATCTCTGAATCAGTGTCCTCTGATGAGGTCATCTTGCTTGAACAAAGAGGTTTATTTGAGAGAGGTGACCAAGAGACCAGTCAACTGGAAACAGTGTCTTCAAAACAGCAAGAGCACCACAAAGTGGAGACACCATTTCCAGTGTTCAACTCTGTACCTCCTGCAATACCTGAAACATCCCTGCTGCCTCTCCATGGCATGGACCAGCACTTGGTCACTCTGGATAGCCAGACACTAGAGCCTCTCCAACAGTCAGATGATCTGCAGGAGTCCAAGAGTCAGATGAGAGTCTTCAGAGACCCTCTCCAGGATGATACTGGCTTATATGTCACGGAAGAGGTAACTTCTTCTGAGGATCGTCTCAAGACTTACTCTGCAGCATTTAAGCAAGAGTTGAAAGATGTCATTCTCTGTATTTCTCCTGTAATGATATTCCGTGAACCATTTCTTTTGACTGAAAAAGGCATGAGGTGCCCTGCCCGGGAATACTTCCCTGAACAAGTTTATTGGTCTCCTCTCCTCAATAAGGAATACAAGGAGTTGGAGAGCAGAAGGAAGAGGCAGTTATTGCGGGATCTCTCTGGACTACAAGGAATGAATGGGAATATCCAAGCCAAGGCTATCCAAATCTTACCTTCTCATGAGTTGGTTAATACTAGAATAGCAGAACATCTTGGTGATAGCCAGAGTTTAGCCAGAATGCTGGCTGACTATCGGGCCAGAGGAGGGAGGATATTACAGAAAAGCACAGATCCATTTGCCCAAAGTAAGGATGTGTCTAGTGTCCCTACTGGAAAAACTGGGTGCAGAATTGAAGAGGATGAGAAAGGACTCACTCAGAGTGAATCCTCATGGTCTCATAAGGTAAGATTCAAAGCTGTGTTACTGAAAACCCAGGTTACATCCGTTTCTCCTGGTAATACGGAAGGTGTAGTGTCTCAAATATTAAACAAGATGTGTGTGGGGTTTGTGTTTTGTTTGTGGGTTTTTTGGGTTTGTTTTTGTTTTTGACTGGGTCAAAACTGCATTTTAGATTGCAGTGCTCTGGGCACTTAAACTAAGTCAATATAACCAGGGACTATGTGGATATAAGGAAGCAGAACAAGAGACTGACTTCAAAATTTCATTTCCCTGAGAAGGGAAGAGGTTGTGAGACTCTGCTTTCTGAGAAATGCACAAAATCAGCCAAGAATCAGTGTATTACATTGCCTCTTCAGCTCAGCTGTACGTGACTGATTTCTGAAAATGAGTACATGAAGGGGGACCAAACTTAAAGAAGTAGTTTCTGAAACTGAGTTTTCTTGCTGCTTTTATTGGTGATTTCTAGAAGTGTAACATTTTTATCTTCAGAGGGCTTAATGTCATGGAAACTGCCGTAGGCTGTTAGAAGTATTACGCTGTTTGTAAAAGTCTGAGTGATCTGAAGAAAGGTGAGAATCTCATAATGAGGGGGTGGAATCTTCTTTGAAATTTCAAAACAAGGCAGTATGTACTTTTAATCAAAATATTTAAAGTTTTGGGGAACTACCTTGAAAGTAACTACCTTGTATCTAAGGAAAAGGATTGTGGTACTTTCTTGAACTGGAAACTGTTTGGGAAAAAAGTTTATGAATGAGAGTAGCAGAACTGGTCTCTCTGAATGGTCATTTGATCCCTGAGCCAATCAGCCCCCAGGTCCACGAGCAGAAGTCACTTTTTAATTGGTGCTTAAATGTAAATCTGTGTAGCTTCACAGGCCATAATCTTGCAAACTGTAAGACTAGCCCTTGCTCTGGATCAGACTGGTTGATGCTGTTTTAAATTTATTCAGTGATCAAAGAAAAGTGTTTGGTAACTTCATAGTTCTGTAGGGTGTGGAAGGGGAAATAGCTCCATTCAAGCAGCAGCATGGTAAATATCTTCAAACAGGACAGAAAGTTGGAGTCTTTCTATAGCTTGAATGAGTAATTGAGGTGTAATATATTGGCAGAGTTTTGACTCTAAGGTGTCCTAAACTGTAGAGTGCTTTGGAGACTGTGGATGTTTATCTTGGGGCTTTTGTTGTTTGTTTCCCGTAGCTTCCTTTCCACGGAAATGCATGTTGCGTGCATTGGTTTCATTGTGCATACTAGTTATGCTGTTCTAAAAATGGCCATTAGCAGTTATTCATGGTACAAGTTTACCTGAAGCTCAGAGATAATGCAAGGTTAATCTGTACAAAAGGAGTAACAACAGATTTGTCTGTAAATAAAACTACTGCAATAGAATTTTGTCATCAGGAGTTGTGTGTGGATGGAGGTGTCTGTAACCAGTAAATGAGTTGTTTTCTCTCTACCAGGTGGATTGCCTGAGTCCAGTAAACCATCAGAGGCTCTGTGTTCTCTTCAGTAGCTCTTCTGCTCAGTCCAGCAATGCTCCAAGTGCCTGTGTTAGTCCCTGGTATGAAAACTACTCCTCTAGAGCTTGTATAGTTGCTATCTTTTTTCCTAAGTCAGGGTCAGTGCTTGCCTCATAGTGGTATTTCCTTGAGGACTCCTTGATAGGTTATGCCCATCCTGTAGCAGGAATTGTTGACAGAAGAATTTTGTCTTGCATGGTCAAGTGGTTTCAGAGCAGTATCCCATAGTCTGTAATCTCCAAAGCATGAATGAGAAAGCTCAGCCTAAAACCGAATGCTTTAGTTGGTCCTTTTTCTGGAGAGAAATTTATGTGTAGGGAGGGCACTTCATGCAGTCTTGTGAGGAAGAGTTAGTGTATGTAAACACAGAAGAATATCTAAGCCCAAAAATAAGCCTTGAGAGAATCTCGGAATACTTCTAGATTGTATTATCTACAAGTGATGTTTGAGCATATTGCTGTTTTTCTTGTATTATAGTCAGCAGCATTAAGAGCTTTAACTGTATTTCCAGCTTAGGGGGCTGTAATTTGTTAATCGTGTGCAATTTATGACCCGCTTCTAACTCTACTAAACAACAGGACAGGCCTTGGTGTTTCCTCATCTAGCTCAGGAGAAAATACAGAGATGGCTCTCTTACAGGGAAAAGTCTAGAGTTCCTGTAGAAGCTAGGGAATGAACCAAGGAAGGTGGTGATAAGCTCACTAAAGAGCAACAGTAAGTTACTGGTATTAGAGATGTCTGAATTGTGACACTTAAACTGATACTTAGACATTTTAAGTGGCTTGGTCACCTCAGGTTCTGAGAAAACAGAAGTTGCTATTAAATCTTCTAGAAGAGCAAGGTTTTCTTAAGGCTTTTTTCGCCTCCTGGATGTACCCTTTTTGTGACTGTTTAAATGTTTGAGGCTTCAAGCTCTGTAGACTTCTATGTGCCTCGATATTCTTGATCATGATCTTCAACAGTGCAATTACATTGTATTTGACTGTTAAATGTCAAGTTTAAAGTTGTTCTAGCAGGACTCTGACCTCATTATTAGCTAACTGGACAGCAGGGATCTAGGAGGAGTAGTGAAGAGCAAAAAAAGCCTTTGAAGGTGTACAGGGCTAAAAACAAGCCAGCAGTGGGTACAGATCTCTGCACCTAAAGGCCATTGCATAGCTAAGAGTGGTAGCATCTCCACCCTCTAAAGCTTTTCTTTCTCTGCTTTAGGATTGTAACCATGGAGTTCTATGGGAAAAATGACCTGACCCTAGGGATTTTCCTGGAGCGGTACTGTTTCAGGTGAGGAATAACTTATTCTGAATCTCATTCTAAACAAAACAAAAGCTTTTGATACATCTGTGAAGTTGTCCTGATGTCTTCTTCATAGACTCTGCTTCTTGTGAACTTAGGAGGATGCAAGTCTGCAGAGCTGGTTCTGTCCTAATAAAGCTTACCACTTAAATCTGTTGCTCCCTTTGCTTTATTATCATGCTGTAGTGAAACAGGAACTGGATTTAAGAATTCACTTACTTATGCTCACTTCTTACAAGCAAATACATCCACTGCTTTCCCACTTTGGCCCTGTCCCTCTTGTTTCCTTTAATGAGGAAGTGGAACAGATTACAGAACAGAAACAAGACTTACAAGTTCATGAGACATGTGTGTTCACTTAGCACTTTCTTGTAGCAATTAGGGCTCTAAGGGCCTAGTTAAGAGTCTGAGCATGTATTCCAAATGGCTGTTATTCAAGACAAGCAACTATACTGGTCACAATTTTCTGAGGTTCCTATTTGAACTTTCATATGAGTTTTGGAAAAAACCTGCTTACTTTAACTGTTATCTGAATATCTCGGAGGAAGACTGCCCTCATCATATCTGTAAGGTGTCTAATGTAAATGGTCCAGAACGCTTTTAGCCCTGGCAAGGTACCGTGAAATTTGTTGCATTTGACAGAGGTGCAAGTTATGTTTCAGTAACAACCAGTACTGCCAGAACCCAATACAGAGTCTCAGCAGGCTCTGAAGCTGGATAGGTAGCCTGTGACTCCTCAAAAGACAAGATTGCTCTGTTATCTCCATTGGCCACTTGCAGCAGCAAAATGCTCTTGGTGTTCAGCCTTCTCTAGAGGAACAGGTATTTCTCCTTGTGCTGACCAGTGAGGAGGAGGAGCTTAGCTGCCCACTTTTAAATTCTTGTTTCTCTCTGCTGACTACCTAGTGTGTGCTAAAGTGAATGCTTCTCCACCTTCATAGTTTCAGTAATTATTTTTTTTAATTAAGCCAAGGAGGATCTGGGCTTTTTTATGCTCTTTTGCTCTTTCTGTTTTTGAAGAATTCCCTACTTAATTTTGGTACCTAACCAGTTCAGCTTTTATTTTTCTGATGTCAGTCTCTCTTCCCTGACTTAAGAGAGCCACCCAAAAAAAGGTCATGGGTGTTTCTGTTCAGAGAGCTGTTATTAGGCACTGTTTTGCTCAGCTCTTCCTTCAGGAGCTGAAACATTACCGTTTTGAAGGATCTTTGGCACTTCTTTGTCCTCAGTAGCCTTTGCCCTGGTACACTGCCAAAGCGGTCTTCTAATTTGGTGCCAGACACTTCCAGGTGTTTGATTCTTATTTTGTGGACTGTACAGAGTATGTTGGGAGAAAGTGATTAATTGTAAAAGGATTTGTGATAGCAACCAGTATCCAGGCACTGTTTTTGTGACCAGCCATTGCTGGCAAGGAAACTTCCCTACGTGCTATTTCTAGATGAGTACAATTCATTCTGCAGAAACAGCCTTCACTAAAGGCTTAGGAAACTTTTACAGTAAATAGTACCGTGATATTAAGAGGTGTATTAAGATATGTTGAATCATTTCTTCAGCAGTGACTAGCATATAGTTATTCTTAAGTGTTTCAATTTCTCTCTATAAGGCCTTCATACCAATGCCCCAGCATGTTCTGTGAAACACCAATGGTGCATCACATTCGTCGCTTTGTTCATGGGCAAGGCTGTGTGCAAATTGTATTGAAGGAGCTGGACTCCCCGGTCCCTGGATACCAGCACACCATTCTTACTTACTCCTGGTGTAGACTGTGCAAACAGGTAAGGATGTGGACTAAAGAATCATTGCTATTCCAATTTAGTATTCCTGTTGTAACTGGTCTTGTATGGAAAAGCAGCACTTTCTCAAAGTGCTCATCCCTGGAGCTATGGTTAAACTAGCACAAAACCTGTCACTGACACAGGTGTTCTCTACAAACTCCTCTTGTGTAACTGAGGTTGTTGAGGGTGAAACTTCTTGTGTGAGGTAGTCCTGTTGAAAATTGTCAAACTTGGCTCTGAGAGGATAGATTCAAGTGGAGTGGATATATTGCTGGAAACTAATTTCTGACAAATGGAAAAAATGAGGTTACCCTCTAAGAGGTATGAAGAGCATGGTCCCTTCCCTACAGTGAATCAGTATGAGCATCAAAAGAATGTATGTATGGGGAAGGGCAGACACTAAGACTTACTGGCTTAGTAATTGGCTAAAACCACTTGGTATTCTTTGATCTGCTATGAACTGGGCAGTCTGCAGTTCATCAGTGTGATGTCTAGACTTCCTTTAGTAGTCATTAGAAAGTAAGTAAAATCTTCATTTGAGGAATGATAAATTGCTTTAAAAAACATAAGATAGCTAAATTACAGAACAAGGTTCAGATAATACATGATCTTACTAAGAAAACATTACCAACTGGATACTCATCTCTAGATGAACATTGTAAAACTTAAGAGCATTCAAAGTGATGAGAATAAAACTTAATTAAAAAAGATTCATGCAGTGCCTGAAATGCAAAACATCTCAATTACCCATGTGGATGACTCAATTCACCTACTTATGCTGGCTTAAACATGGGTGTTGGATTTAAAGATACCTGGAGGAAGTTAATGTAATTGCTGAAGGCAAGGCGGATGCTGCTGTGTACACACCTGTTCTGTAACCTTTTATTTCTTCGTGCTCATGTAAACGCTAATATGTTTGTGGCTATTAAGTATGTATAAAGTGATGGATACTCCAAACTTGCAAGCACTGCTGAAGCTGAAATACACCGCAGAGCAATATCAGTGTATCTGTAGCTGAAGAATCACCAGGGAAAAAGTATATGATGAAACCTCTGTTGCTGACTTGGTTGCTGGAAACTGTCTCTGTGTGGAAAAATAGCAACCCAAATATAAGCTTCTGTCAAGGACATGTTTGCACTCCCCCAGCTTAGCACCTATCATCAACCAGCAGTAGTTGTTTATCTGACTTATTGTAACTATGTGTTGGCCTTAGCATTGCATAAATGCTATCTTTATTGTTGTTTAGTATGTTTCAGGGTCATGGGTACTTCTGATACTAGAAATACTAGATTGCTGTGTAGGTTAGCCAGTCCTTAATCTTGGTTGAAGGATGAAATTAAGACACTTTGGCTTTCAATTTTTCAGGTGACACCGGTTGTTCCCCTTTCCAGTGATTCTTGGTCTATGTCTTTTGCAAAATACCTTGAACTGAGATTCTATGGGCACCAGTACACTCGAAGGGCCAATGCAGAGCCTTGTGGTCATTCCATTCACCATGACTATCACCAGTATTTTTCCTATAATCAGATGGTGGCATCTTTCAGGTGAGGTCCACTGCTAAAAACTTAATTCTCTCTCTGTAGTACTATGTGAAGCATATAGCTCTAGTAAGGATTCATCAAGTCTGTTCTTCATTTTGAGTACAGCATGGGATGGTATAACTGGGCTATACCACAAATGCAGGATTGTGTGCTGGCTTGCAGAGGGCATTGTGGGTACCATCACTGTCCTAGATGGAGTGGGCAGTGTTCCTAGAATGGATGGGTCCAGTTCATAATACAGAAGGGAAACACTTTTCCCTGTGTGATGTTGAAAACTTTTGGAATTTCGTTTTTGCAACATGATCTGTGGTTTTACTTTTTGCCTAGGAGATAAACGAACAGGGTATTATTGCTACGAAAAGTAACTAATGTTGACAGTGCCCCTTTTCATGTAAGGGCCACAAACAGCATTATGGTGTAGAATTAGTACTATGTGAGGAGAGACTTGCTAATAGCTGTCTTATTACCTTCTCAGCTACTCTCCAATCCGGCTGCTTGAAGTGTGTGTCCCACTCCCCAAGATCTACATCAAACGGCAGGCTCCATCAAAGGTTACTATTTTACAGGATCTCAAGGATTTCTCTCAAAAGTAAGCTTTGTTTTTAGTGCCTTCCTGAGCTTATTTGTACTTTGGAATTTTATTAGCAGAACACAAAATAGCTTTGCTAGTATAGATAAGACTATTTCATTATTTAATAGACTATTTATTAGACTATTATTTAATAGATTATTTCATTATTTAATAGGAAGTAATGGTTTTAAACACATTTATATGTTCATTTACTTTTAAGGGAGGGCAGTACTGAAATGTTCTTTATTGCCTTTGCCTGCTCTGTCTGTACTGATCTCTCACTTTTTCATCCATCAGTAATTCAGCTTAAACACAGCCAGTAGAAACTAAGATTCTTCTCTTCTTTATCCCTGAATGTTGTGTTTATTTTTGAGTGATATAGCATGTTTCTGAATTACGATGTCAAGTAGCCACTGAAAGGTTGATCATCAGTTGGTGTCTGAAATGTCACATTTTCTTACAAAATGCATTCTCAAGCACAGCTAAAGTATTTCTAATTTGTCACTCTAATAATAAAAATGGAATAGAGGAGGTGGTCCTAGAAGGCTCTATCTGAAAACTACAGGTAACACTTTGTACCCTTACCCTAACATTCCTTTTGGAAGATCTGACTAAGTTTAAATCCTGCCTTCAGCCCAGAAAAACTGCAGAGGCAGTGCTCAAATCTATTGTCCAAACAGAACTGTTTTCATTATATTGGTCATGTGGCAGCTAAACTCTCTGGTGTGTAAAAGACATTGCCTTTGTTAGCTAGTGAATACGATAACAGCAGTCTGGTGTCTTCTTGTAGTTCAAGGTAAACTACCATAAACCTAGACACCCTTCTTAAGGTAGGAACAAAAAATTGGGAGATAGGCCTGATGGAAACTATATTAAATCCAGCCTGACTGCTGTTCTGCCTGATGGCAGTATTCCTGTATGGCTGATGTCTCTGTGACCACCTGACTTCAGAACCTGTGGAGCTTTGTTTAGAGCTGAAATAGTTATTCACTTTGGTGAATAAGTGTTCACTTCATTCTGGTGGAGACGTAGCTTACAGTCCCAGATCCTTCTTAGACACAGGTGACACAACAGTTCCCCTCTGCCAGTAGTGTGTTTGTGACATTTATGTTGCTCTCTGACAACTTCCACTGCTAAGAGTAAGTTGTGAGAGGAATGTCAGTGTGTGTTAACTTTTAGGTTTCTGCTATACTAATGAATTTTTTCCAACTTTCCCTGTAAATTCAGTGGGACAGCCTGCTTGCAGCAGACTGTCATATATCATACTTCGTATTCTTAACTGCTAGCCTTAAATTCCTTCAACATTCTTTAATAAAAGTCTGAATATGTTCCAAGTATCACAGCTTAACTCTTTGCATCCCTGTTGACAGGGTATCGCAAGTATATCTTGCTGTTGATGATCGCCTTGCTTCTCTGAAAACGGATACTTTCAGCAAAACAAGAGAAGAGAAGATGGAAGACCTATTTGCCCAAAAGGAGGTAATGGACTATTTCTGCATCAGCGGACTGTAGGCTGCAATGTCTGTGGAGAAGCCACTCAGATCTAGTGTCATCTCTGGTCACAGAACACTGACAGTTTTTCTCTTGACAGATGGAAGAGGGGGAGTTTCGAAACTGGACTGAGAAAATCCAAGCAAGGCTGCTTTCATCATCATTAGACACACCTCAACAGCTGCAATCTGTTTTTGAGTCTCTGATAGCTAAAAAGCAAGGACTTTGTGAGATGCTACAGGCCTGGAATAATAGGTAAGAGGACACATGTTGGAATCATGAGCAATACTGATACTGTATTTGTTATAGAAGGGAAAAGGTTCTTTTGTACTTTCTTTCCCTGTAGTGCAGTTGCTATATAGAGTGTGTTATGACAGCTTGTGCTGAATGTCATCTATTGGTTAAAACCACAGAGCTGCTTGATTGGAACAGAAAATCATTTGAGGCTAGATAATAAAAGTATTGTTTTGTAGAGCACAAGTTGCATCTGAGAGGAGAAAGTGTCATCTGAGTAAAGGTGGAAGAGAAGGGAAGAGGGGAGCATGGGAAAGCAATTAGTTGGATGAAATTATGTCAGAGGTGAAGAAAATGTTCTGGCTGTTTGAAACATAGCTTTGGCACATGTTAGCAACCTTCTGAGTTTGCAGTAAAGGCTTATGAAAGTATGCTTTGCTGTATTCTAGTATGGATAAACTTCATAACTTCATAATGTTTGCCTGTCACAGCTAATAACCATAACCTATCTTTTGATTAATTTTTCTTTGGGGTTTTTTTGTTTGTTTGCTTTAAGATTGCAGGATCTCTTCCAACAAGAGAAAGGGAGAAAACGTCCATCAGTACCACCCAGCCCTGGGAGACTGAGGCAAGGTGAAGAAAGCAAGGTATGAGTAACAGCCTAGAAGCTACTTCAACTTTTTTTTTTTTTTCCTGAGGCAACACAATAGTCTTAAGACTGGATTCAGTTCACTTAGTAAACTTGTTTTTCTGCATCATGTAGTTTTCAGATGTAAAAACTTGAATTGCATATTAGTATATGTATCTTTTCCTAAAAATGTGAACCAAGAACCATATTACACGGAAGACTAAGTATGAATAGAATTTGATGATTTTCTATGATGTTTGTGTAGTGTTAATCTGAATACCAGCAGCAGAGAGCTGTGCTTATTGTCAGGCATATGCCTAAATAAGAAGGAGGTCACCTTATTAGACCCTAGGTTGTTGCCCATCAGGTTTATCCCTTGTAAAAAAGAAAAGGCAAAAATTATCAGAAGGGGCAGAGCAAAGAACACGGGAAGGACTGATAATGAATTTGCAGGTTCGTCTCTGTTCTGTGCTGGGAACTTGCTGAGGGAATGTATAGGTGATTTTGGACTGCTGCCTCAAGAGCCCTGTCTAAGGGTACAGTTGCCAGCATACTGAACAACTACTCTTTGAGGAGCTGGTACTCTGAGAAAATGTCCAGACTACAAGGCAGTACAATATAAGCATCATACAGAGGGGCTGAACTTCTAATAGTTCTAACATTAGCGAGGTGCACTAAGAAATACCATGAGACCTTGGATTTGCTCTGCTGCATACATACGTGTCCTTTCCACTTAACACATATTTATTAGATGCTGAAACGCACTTAACCTTGATCTAGCAGCAAGTAGGTTTATATTGAGGAAGAGTATAGTCTTTAAAGCAGCATACAGAGATGATAGCAGTCATAAGCATCTTGTGCAGCTGTGTTGCTGTTACCTTGTCTTTTTTGTGTGGTGGCCAATACAGTGACAGTGCAGTGGGTGAGAGTACACTGTTGTGGTACATCTGCTTTTGCCAGTGTTCCACAGAGGGAAGGGATACAGCTATAAAGAGCTTGGCATCAACACTGGCATTTTGTTATTCTGCCTAGATCAGTAGCATGGATGCTTCCCCACGCAATGCTTCTCCAGCACTGCAAAATGGAGAAAAAGGTCTGTTGTTTGTTTATTTTTCTTAAGCTACCAAAAGAAGCTTGCTGTAACCCTTTTGCTGACACAAGACAGGAGCCTCTGTCAAATTTGATAATTTAGAGAAACAGTGAATCCCCATTGTGTCAGATGGGAATAAGCCAATTTCTGCCTTTTTATTATAAAAAGTGAAGTCTACTTCTGGTATGAAGCTGAATTACTAATGATACTGAATTGGCCTTTGAACTTGAGTTTTAAAAACTTCCAAAGGCTTTCTAAATAACAGAATAACTACATGGAATTTGGGAAATGCCTCTAGCCTCTTCTGTGAAGTGGTTATGAGTGCTGAGACCTCTTACTTGTGAGGCATCCTGAGAGTTTGTGGGAACTGAAGGTAGTGGGTATAGGTCTATACGTATTTTGGAGGTTATGTGCTACATTGATCAGCTTGCCCATTGCTCTGGGTGGCCTCATCTGCTTTCTAAGTAAAATCTTCTTGACAGTAGACACTGGTGATGTGTTGGCCTGGGAGCAGGCAGTATCACTTCTGACAGCCATGTAAAGTGCTTTCTTCTGTCCTTAACTGTCTTTGTACTCTCAGAGGATCGTTTCCTTACTACTTTATCAAGTCAGAGCTCCACAGGCTCCACGCATCTTCAGCTGCCCACCCCTCCAGAGGCTGTATCAGAGCACGTGACTGGTGCCAACACACTGTCTGAACAGGACACCACAAGCAGCTCAGAAGGTACAGTTCAGTTGTGATCTTATATTCTTTCTCTTTCTTCTCTGTGGCAAGTGTATGAGATCCATTTAGGAAATGGCAAATCTGGCAACTCTGTAGTCTGCAACCTTCCTTCTGAATTTACAGCTTGAAGTTTGATATTGTGATGCAGACTTAACTTATCTCTGTTCCAGATGTGTTTGATGGACACTCACTGGGATCTACAGACAGCCAAGTGAAGGAGAAGTCTACTATGAAAGCTATTCTGGCTAACTTTTTGCCTGGAAACAACTATAACCCCATTCCATTTCCTTTGTAAGTACAGCATAATATATATATGATGTACAAAATTAGCAGCCTGGTCAAATTGCAGAGCTGTGCATGCTTCCTTTGCTCAGTTATATAATTTAAGTCATAATTTTGGTTTTGCCTCTGAATAAGCTACAGAACTATCTCAAGGCAAGAAGTTTTCTGTATCCTTTCTAGGTGTTTGTAGGTTACCCACTTTTCTTATTAATGATCTGCCCTTGTATATATACATTATCAGTTTCACCTCCTCCTAGCAGGCATGCCTCCTTGGAACTCTTGTGGGAAGGGAAAGGGGGGAAAAGGTGCCTTCTAACTTCATTGCTGCAGGGAAGGAGAATGTCCTTCCTTAGCAGAGACTTACTAAAGCTACATGCCTGCCTCTTGTTTTTGCTTCCAGACCTCTTCCAAGGGTTGGATTCAAAGTGGCATTGTCTGGGTGTAGGTCAGGTTCAATGGCTACTGCATGTGCCCTGAAGTTCCCCTCTCACGTGAAAATGGGCAGGCTGGAAAGTCTTTCAGCTACTTGGTCTGCGTGCTTTGTAGTGTTTCTTGTTTGACATGAGCCTAATGTTTGGCAGCCTGAGTTTAACTTCTGAATCCTACCCCCAGGGTAGTAGTGGAGGCCATGGGCTAATGAGGTAAAAGGTAAATGACTTGACCCTACAGACAAGTAAAAGAAAATCTTACGGAAACTCAGGAGGCTATTGGGAATTTTCTGTGCTAAACTGCTTGCTCAGAGAAGAGTCCAGGTTTGTCCCCTAACTTCACTCTGCAGGATGTGCTGCAGGACAGTCAAAACAAACTCAGGCAGGTTTTGGTGCCATTGGAAACAGTGGCTGCTAAACAGAAATAGACTCTTACTCTAACTTGGATCTGGTCTTCTGATGTAAGCAGCTTGCTTGAAGTGCTGATTGCCCTAACACACTATCACTTAGATTTAACCACATAGCTATGAATGTGTCTGTTGGGAGAAGCTGATCTGGGGAGCTTTGATTTCATGCTGAGACTTGTAGCTTGTGTCTGGGAGTGCAGTGATGACCAAAACTTAATATTTTCTTTGCACAAACTTTTGCAATCTACTAACAGTCTCTCTATGTCATTTTCATGTAGTGACCCAGATAAGCACTATCTAATGTATGAGCATGAACGTGTACCTATTGCAGTCTGCGAAAAAGAACCAAGCTCCATCATAGCTTTTGCTCTCAGGTACTGGTATGATTTTGCTCTTCATCTGACACATGTTGTGCTTTTGCAGCTTTTCTGTGCAAGGAATAATTAAATCCTAATGGTAGGGAACAAGCATGACAGAATTTCTTCACTCAGCTGTGTTGAGAGTTTCTACCAGAGCTGAAGTTCTCTCCTTTTACTACTGAGATATGGAAAGCAGGTTTTCCAACTTGCAACTGGATTTTAGGCTTTTCTTGCTGAAGTCTAGTACACAAAAATGACTTAGGTGTGTAGTGTTCCCTCTGATGTGACATTGTTAGAGAAAGAAATGCAACTAAATTTTTCTCATCTCTCCAGCCTGGAGGAAGTGCAACTGAGCTAGGGATCAACAGTTAGGTATTCATACTATAGCCTGTCCCTTGCCTACCTTAACTTGTAGCTCTTGCTACTAAACCAGCTGCTCCAGTAAATCTTGAGGTTTGCGTATTATAAGGCAGCAGACTTTTAAAGAAGCCCATTATTAAATTGTGGGAGAGGGAGAAACAAGGGGGAGACTTTTCCGGCAGTATGATCTAGGGCTGCTTCTGTTCTAAGGGAACTAAGTTCTAATTGTAAGAAAAAATGAAGGAGAGGTTTTTCTCATGTGGGTTTTTGTTTCTTTTGGTTGTCTCTAAACTGAATCTTTGGGTTGGTGTTACAGAACAGCTGACTTTCCCCACCCCTTCTGTTCCCCTTCAGTTGCAAGGAGTACAGAAATGCCCTGGATGAGTTGTCTAAAGCATCTCTGAAGAACAGCTCTGAAGAAGGACTACAGTTTAACAGGTTACATGCAGGAACTGTAGTTCATGGACTGTAGTGATGTAAGACAAGACTAGAATGGGGAAAGACCCTCAAAATACGCCTCTGTTAGGATCTCTGCTTTCTGATTAAAGTCATGCATTCTGTGTAACCAACACGTACTCGCAGTATCCGAGTTTCTCTTTCATGTTGAGGACTGTGTTGGCTTCATCCCCTGATCCCTTGACTGTGTGCATAGTAGGGGTTACTGGGCCTGTTTACCTTTCCTGTGATGATGGATGGAATTGTTGCTATGGAGCCCTGAGAGGATTTTCTCAGGGAGGTGGAGAACAATTTGGAGAGTCCTACACCATTGCAACTTTAAACTGTATCCTCTTCCCTTAGTAGTACTTAGTGTTAGGTGTGGAGGAAAGTAAACGTAGAGGAGTAAGGCAGTAGTGTCTTGGGTGGCAGTATATGTTGGGCTCATGACTTTTTTTTTTTATTTCTCCTTTCAGCATGTCAGACAGCAAACCAAAGAGCAGTAGCCCTGTCCGCCTGCCTGAGGCTAACACGGGTCCTTCAAATCGCAATGCAGAACCTGAACAACGTAAGACCATCTTGCCATAATCGTGACCATGATGCTAATCTCAGCTCAGACTTGAGCCTGCTTAACCTGTGTTCTAGCTCTTGTGAAAGTTAAGTTAGAACAAAGAAAATACATTCTGAGTTGAAATTGTGACTAGTCTTAAAGTTGACTTGATGTAGAACATGGAGTGGGGCAGGGTGTCTGTTTTTTGATGTCTGTGCCCGCGATGGCTTTTTCTGATTCTTAAGAGCTCAGACTATCATTTTCTGATTTAAAGTGTTATGATGTAGTGGACTTCAGGTTGTTCTTGAGTCTAGTCTGTTCAGTGGAGTACGATGCCTGTAACATGTTCTGACCTCTTTTGGCACTGCCTTCTTTAAAAATATGGCAATTAATTATTTTGAAATGGAGAAGTGAGGTTCTTACTGTATTGAAGACACACACACTTGGTCTGTGTTTTCAAATGACTTGGCATTCCAGAATGCTACTCGGTACACTAAATCAGCTAACCTGATGGACATTGGTTTCCTGAAGAATAGCAAGTGAGTTGCAGTTGAATGATATAATTCCTCCAGTTAGAACAAGGAAGAGTGTGCTCATATGGGTCATGCTTTTATTAAACTGCCTGTGGAAATGCTAAGGCCAACTTCATTATTCCTTTTCACTGTAGCAAAGAAACCATCTGGCGTTTTGTCTTTCTTCCGTGGCACGGGAGGGAAGAGCCCCGACCTGTCTTCCCAGAAGAAAGAGACCTTACGTGGTGCTGACAGTGCCTACTACCAGGTTGGACAGATGGGCAAAGAAGGAGCAGAAAACCAAGGAACAGAGCCTCAAGGTACAAGACTGTCAAGTCCACCTTCTGTCTTGGACTGTTACTTCTCCCAAACCTCATTCATACTTGTAAGGCCCAGAATGCACTCCTGCTTGTACTTTTTCAGAAGTCCAAGATTACTCAGCATACATTGATGTCCTGGTTTTTGCTAGGATAGAATTAATT